CTTGTCTTCACTCTGAGGTCCTTTCCCTTTGTTTTTGGCGTTGACTTTGCCGGCCTGCTTGAAGACCCAACATTCTCTGTTGGTGTGATTGGCTGGTTTGTCGGGAGTGCCATGAATCTGGCAGGGCCTGTCTAGAATTTATCTAGGTTGGATGGACTGTCTTTGTTGCCTTTAAATGGCTTCTTCCATTGACCGGGTCTGGAGCCCTGGAATCCAGCATTTACCACTGTATTGTCTAGGCTTTCTTCATTATTCCGGCATTTATTTTTGTTGCATCGTGGTTTTCCATTACCGTCCCTGACTTCGGATGTGCCGGGGTCGCTGGTGCTACTACAGGCTAACCAGCTGTCTTTGCCCGCGCAAAAGCGGGTCATAAGTGTAGTTAAGGCAACCATTGTCCTTCGCTTTTCCTGGCCAAGGTGTCTAGCTAGCCATTCGTCCCGGACACTGTGTTTGAAGGCCGCTAAGGCTTTGGCGTCCGGACAGTCGACGGATTGGTTCTTCTTAGTGAGAAACCGGTTCCAAAGTTTACGGGCTGATTCTCCGGGTTGCTGGAGTATGTGACTTAGATCGTCTGCATCCGGGGGCCGGACATAGGTCCCTTGGAAATTGGCCCGAAAAGCATCCTCAAGTTCCTCCCATCTTCCTATAGAATTTTCAAGGAGGCTTTTTAGCCAGTGTCGAGCTAGTCCTTTTAGCTTGAGGGGTAAATATTTGATGGCGTGGAGATCGTCTCCGCGTGCCATGTGGATGTGAAGAATGAAGTCTTCTATCCAAACCGCCGGGTCCGTCGTTCCATCATACGCCTCGATGTTTACGAGTTTGAACCCCTCTGGAAAATCGTGTTCCAGTACCTCATCAGTGAAGCACAGAGGGTGTGCGGCGCCCCTGTATCTGGCTGTGTCGGGGGTTGGTTCCGACGGTTGCAATGTGCGGTATTGGTTCCAAGATGGTAAATGGCTCGCATATTTTGTTTTATAATCATGATTCTGTGTAGGAGCACATTCCCTAGATCCATAGATGGACCTGGTTTTGCCAGCTTTTTTGTCCAGGTCCTCACGTAGATCGTGTTTCTGGTCCTGGGCCGCAGCCTTCCTTCCTTTGCGGGGAGGGGGCACGTGCTTGTGTATGGCATGGCTTGCCGCTCTGTCGCGATCGCGAGGTGGTTGGTCCAGCCAGTCGGCCATATTGTTCTTCGGCAGTATAAGCGCGATAACCTCGTCGTCGAATTCGGGCAGCAGTTTGCGTTTAGGATAGCTCTTTGTTTGGCGATTACCGTCGTATTTTTCCTCAGCGTCTAGCACTTCGTTCCATTTGTCATTGAGCGTATCCTGTGCGGATTTAAGCCGCTGCTTCTGCTTCTTTAGGCTCCTTGCGGTGGTGATAAGCCTCTGGTGGAGGCATTCTTGTTCTAATGGTTCTTCTGGGACGACGAACTCGTCGTCGCCCGGGCTGATCTCCTCTTCAGAGGCGGGTTGGTAATTGCCGTCCTCGGCGTCGCTATGGTCGGATAATGTCTTCGGACTCTGTTTGCTGTCCTCTCGCCCACCCTGCTCCAACGCTGGGTCCGCGGGGTCCTCGGCTTGGTTTAGATTACCATCATCGTGCGTGACAATGTTGTTGTTTTTCCGTTTGCCAGATCAAGGTCGGCGTTTAGGACGCCGGCATTTGGGAGGTTCATCGACAGGCCTACTGTTATCGCCGCCGGCCTCATTCTCCTTAGGTGTGTCCACCATGTAAATGTGGTATAATGATGTAGCTGTCCAACGCCCTGTATGCGGTGGTTCCTGGCATCGTCGTCCATACCATCGATGTCTTCGGAGTCGTAATCAAGCATGTCGGTTAAATCGTCGACAGTGGCTATTAAGTGGGTGGTGGGTGGGGACCGGATTTCTTAGTCATCCACTTCCCACTCGAGTCGGACATAGTTCGGCCGAGAGTCCCCCGATAAAGAGAGGGTTTTTAATGAATTTAACATGTCGCCCAAAGGCGAGTGCTGGAAAATATCCGCGGAGTTGAACTCCAAGACCAGTGCCCAATCAGGTTCGATGGACATGGATGCACACGGTTCGGAACCCGTGGCTGGAGACGAGCCCGAGGTTTCGGTAACACAAGCCCAGTTCAACGTCGGGCCTATGTGCGTCTCGAGCGCCGCTGAGTCTGCGGCCTCCGCGGCGGGGTTAAGCTTCCCATCTTTGGACGACACAGCCCGCCCTAGTTCTAGGGCCAGGGCGGCCACATGGGCTATCTCCTGTGCGCGGCCAGATGACAGATCTAGGTCATGTTCATCGTGGTGGCCGAGGATAGCCGTCATGGGCTCGAATCCGTCGAAAATCAAATCTCCGCGGATGTCGGCCACGAAATTCAGGCTTCCAAATCTGACCTGATGGCCAGGGGCGTAGCTATCGATCTACTCTAGATGGCCAAGTGAGTTGGCCCGCAGTGTGAAGCCGCCGAATACAAAGATCTATCCGGGGAGAAAGTTCTCCCCCTGGACTGCGTTGTTGTAGATGATTGATGGAGCCATCAAGCCTATCTTCGATGACACAACGAAACTCTCAATGAAAGCACCAATGTCGGTGTCAAAACCGGCGGATCTCGGGTAGGGGGTCCTGAACTGTGCGTCTAAGGCTAATGGTAACAGGAGGCGGGGGACACAATGTTTACCCAGGTTCGGGCCCTCTCTATGGAGGTAATACCCTACTTCCTGTTTGATTGATCTTGATGAATATGAGTATTACAAGAGTTGATCTACCACGAGATCGTAATGGCTAAACCCCAGAAG